TTTCCCACATAAGGGCCCTCATGCTGCCTCTTGAGAAGAATTCCATTAAAATGCAGCATGAGATAATACATGTGTGCCCATCTGAACATCAGGCTTACCCTAGGAAAAAAATAAATCAAGGAAGGTTTTGAAAGTAGGAACACTTCAGCTGTTTGCAATGCTGTTGACAACTGACAGGCTGTTGATAAAACTGTGTGGTGGTCAACTTATACATTTGCATTCAATAAGTGTGTGTGTGTGTTGGGGGGGGGGGGGGATATATCACCTTAGCAACAAGTATCTATGCACTTGCACCCTCCAGCATACCTGTGCTACCACAAGCTCTTGGTTTCAGTATGTATCCAGTCCACAGTGGTTTTATTCTTTTTCTCCTGTCTAGTACTTTTTCCCTAGCCACCCACATCCAATGCATAATTGCTTTGGATAAACAGTACAGCTTTCTGGATTAAGTCCATGTTTTTTAGCTGTGGTTTTAAGTCACCAACAGTCAGAACTGTGCTACATGCTGTAATTAGAGCTCAAAATCACCAACCAGTTAATAGTTTCTAATAGTAGGAACATCACTTTTGTCTTCTATAACTGCAGCTGTAGAGCAAAGAGGCTGCGGATCATAAAATGCTCAGAAAGGAAGATTTCTTGAAGAAGTACCCCTGAGGATGGAAGAATTATAGCTTAAGCAAGAGAAATAAAGTGACCTTGACACTGCTAACAGTTCACTGAGTGCTGTCACAACCAGATCTGCTTTGAGATTTCATCAATGTCATAAACTGTTGATAGGTAGAAGGTACAGCAGTTCTGACACATGATGTCAAGGAGAAAAGACTGGAAGGAAAAAATGTCTTGCAAGCAGTGGAAAGACAAACCAGCATGGTAATACCCTGCCATTAGAAAAGCTTTGAAAGCACTTACCCTTCTTTAGGCAGTGAAGATGTATGTGATTGTGAATTAAAGGGGTTTTTACTTTTCCTTGATTAACTCCTTGACTGGTTTCATCTGGCTGATGCTGTCGATAAAAAGATGACAACGATGTCAAGCTTACAGCATTTCAGAATATTTGAACGCACAAATAAAGGATTTTGATATTTCCCAGCAGCACGGTGAATGGTATTCTTTACTGCTTACTTTAAAGGAGCTGAAAGAGACAGCTCCAAGAGCTCCCCTCTTTTGCTTGCTTGGAAGGATGAGAATGGCACTTCTTACAAACTTGACAGAGCTATGCAAATTCCTCAGCCTGGAATCTTAAATACAAAGATTCCCAAACCCTGTAATATGAGACATATCTTAGCAGTAGAATTGTTGGGACAAATGCCTGCTCCTTCAAAGAATGATGACCACTTGGATTTGTCTTTAATTGAGTAACTAAAAAAGAAGTTTTTGTAACATCTTTTAAATAGGAGTGCAGCAGGGCTTTTTAATACTGTTTCAATAAGGCTATTCTTGTCCTGCTCCTGTTTATCAGTGAGGTAGCACTGTGTAATAGCTAGGTCAGTGAAAAGAACATAAGGGACAGAAGTTGCATATAAACTGGTTTAAATGAACAGAATATGGTTTAAACCTGTAACAGAACAGAAGTTCAGTGCACATAAACCAGTTTCAAAATGGCTGAAACTGGTTTATGATAAATCTGGTTGAAAGTGCCATCAAACTTTAGGTCAAACTAGTTTATGAAACTTCTGTCCCAAACCCCTTCCTGGTTTTAAATGAAATCAGAGTCCCCCAGCATCCCAGCATATTTTTTAGGGCTGGCTCACTGGCCTCACTGGCTGGCTTACTGTGTGTCCCCCTCCGCAAGGCAGACCCCAGCTGGGGTCTGAGGCCAGGGAGGGGGGGGGGTTAAAACTCATCTTCCCCCAAGTACAGAGCTGCCTTGTCCTGCCGACTGTGGACTACAAATTCCAGAGGCACCTGGAAGCAGGGAGAGGAAGTGATGAGCAACCCTGAGAGTTCTGCTGCTGTGATTGTGGACTGAAAATCCCAGAGACCTCGGGGGCAGCAGGAAGAGTAAAAGAACACACAGCCCAGGCTGCATTTATAGTTCTTCAGTTTATAGATATTCAGAGAAAGAACTATTCTTGTTCAAGCTTTTATGAATTCAGTGCTACTACCTTCCCTCCCCACCCCCTCCTACCCCAGGGCCTGGCCATGCCCTCCTCTTCTCCAGCAGGGCGTGGGGAGAAGTCTTGGAGGGCTCTCTTCCCTTTGGGAGTGGCAGGCAGGTATGCTCTAGTGCCCCCTGGCTTCTGGCCTGAGCCACAGCAGGCATGTGGCTGCATTTCCTGGATCAAAAGGAATGTCTGTTTATTTGCTTATTGGTTCAATCGCTGCAGCTTAGACTAACTGCAAAGACTGAATCAATTCAGCCTTGAGCTTTCTGACTGTCTGTACTTAGCCCAGGAGCCTTAGGTTCTGTGCTCTTCTCTGCAACTGACCTGCTGTATGATAGTGTGCAGAACACTTTTCTGTCCATGCCTCTGTCCCATATATTAGAGTGCAAGCTCTTTAAAGCATAAATTGCCCTCACAATGGGTAAATATAGCACCTAACACAGATTGCTCTCATTTTAGGGAATTTAATTTCAATTGTTTTTTAAAATAAGGCTATTTTTGGTTAAACAAATCTTTTTGGTGTGCCTATAGATCACTTTAAGATTCTATGGGAAGTTTAGAAAGAAACAGCCATTGTTACACATGCAGAAGCCTCCTTATCTATGAAGTATACAAGATCTTCAGTTTGCTTTGTAGCTCTATATGAGGAGAAGAGTTTTATTGACAGATACTGAAGAACTATATATGTTGCACTGGAAAGGAGAAACAGTGGCAATAGGAGCTTCTCTGAAATGTACTTATGCAACTGGAATGCAGGCCTGGTGAAATACAGGGGGAAATATTAGGTCTTCCACATTTCACTCCGAGTTCCTAATCACTGAAAGTACACAGGGTGTGCCACTATGTGGCCTTTTGCACCAGCATAAATAATGCTAAAATACTGTAATACTTGATTTTGCCAGGAGATGGCAGGAAGAAGTTAGAAAGATGCAGAAAGGATTAACTGAGCAGCATACTCTTCATTTATTTTTTAGAAGAAATGTGTTAGAAATGCACATGACACAGTATTGATTGGATGGGAGAAACAATGTGAAACTAAGTGTGGTGATAAATCATATAATTGCAAGCAGAATATGACATCTGCATTTTGTTCTTTCTTAAAGAACTTCTGAAGCAATGTTTATCTTTCCTATGTGTAGTAATGATCTTGTGTCATTCAGCCTGGTACTTGCCATTTGGTGAATGAAATCTATTGTACCAGGACATAGTATTCAGTAGTCCAGACCACACTGAGGTTTTTTTCTCTTTAATGACTCTCAAATGTATTTCCAACAGAGATTTTTGTGTCTGATAGCTAAGAAATTGTATTATTTTTCCTGTTTTACAGATTCATGTTCAGAAATATCAGAATTCTTTTTCTTGCTATTGCCTAAAGTTGCTAAAATCTTGGTCTCTTTACCCTGTCACTCCAACAGTGATTGCTTCATTTATATTTGGAAGCAGCTCATTGTTACTTCCTCATGTTTACTTTTGTTTTGGCCTTTTTGTTAATTCACTTATGCTGGTGGGGAAAACTTCTGCACAAAAGTTGCACTTCAGGCACTAAAATTGGAGTCTAGTTTGGGCTCATGCTGATCTCATTATTCCTTAAAAGTTTCCCCTCTCTCCCAAAATGATCAGTAACTTCAGCATCCCCTGCTGCCTGCAGTTGTTTCATCAAGTCACAGAATGATGGCCTGTAAGATATTTATCAATTAAATGTATGCTATTTGGAAGAGAGGGGAGGTGAAAAGAAATTTCTTTCTCAGAGGAAAACCAGCTCAAGTGATGGTGGTTATTCATGATGATGATGACACAGTCTCCTTACCACCAAGCTTTTCTGAGGACAATTCCAAACTTAATTTAAATGTCTTAGGCTAATTTAAATGTCTTAGGCTCACCTTTGGCCCATTTAATGTTTTCCTAATTCCCCATTCCATTCTAGGCATTCATTCAATTTCTGGACAGTTAGGCTTCTTAGATATGCTCCAGTTTTTGAGGTGTTTGCAGTGTCTAGAGCCTCAGAGGTCTGAGACAGAGCGAAAGGAGCCCTGTAAGAGCAGCAGCTGCCAGACATGAAAAAGGAAGTGGGTCATTCAGCAAGTTGAAGACATGAGAAAATATCTCTTTGTAAATAGTAGCTTAAAGGGGCTCAGGGTCAGTTCAGAGATGTCTGTACACCTTCCTTCTGGAGATAGAAGCCCAAATGGCTCAATTTGGGGGTATAACTTTGGTTAGATGAGGTCCCTGAATATTATCCAGAGAGAGTAGGCAAAAATTTTGGTAACAGTTTTCTCCCCTTCCAAATTTCAGCAAAAATATGAACTAAATTTGGGATTGGGGATTCCATTTGATATTGCATAGGCTCTCAAGGTCTCTCTCCAGGATCCTGGTACTAATAATGTGGGTTTTAGAGGTGAGGGAAATTCAGTCTCTTCCCATACAACTTTTTCTAGTAAGAGTTCTTTAGAGAGAAAGCTGAGGCAAACACAGAATGATGCGGTGTCTGGGGCTTCTTTACATTTGGGACAGACATGACGCATGTGCCCTGGTGAAGTGAGTCATAGCCAAGGATCCAGGTTTTCTGTTTCCCACAGAAAAACCAGGAAACAATGTGGATTTTCCCTCTTAACTGAGAAAAACTTGGATTTTTCATTTTAACAGAGAAACATGCAGATTTTTCATTTTTACAAAGAGCTCTCTGCAGGCTGGCAGGACATGGAGGAGGGCGGTCAGGCAGGAGGCACCATGTGCGTGTGCATGCTCACACATGCACATAACCTCCAGGCAGCCTGGAGAGCAGCTTCCACAGGTAAGTCTGATGGTGGGGTGGGGGGATTGAGGCCCCCATATGGAAGGAGGGAGGGCGGGAGTTTGACTGGGCTGGGGTTGGGGATGCTGCCCAGATAGGGCAATGCATGGGGCTTGGGGCCCAGGGCTGGAATGTGCGGCCACAGGGCCCCAGCTGGGAGTTGAACAGAGCTGCAGATGGCTTGTTTGGGAGGGGGGGAGCTGGCTCCCTGCCACTGTGTGTACTCCCGGGGGGGGGGGTAGTAGGGGCACATGCCCCCTTGATCTGTGCAGGGGGTGGGGGTGGGCTGCCTGCTGCGGGCTCGGGCTCCCTGCCCTGCTGCCCTCCCCCAGGGCCTCCGCAGCTCAGTGGGGAGGTCCCAGCATAGCAGGGCAGAGCAGGGCCAGGTGGGGAAGCTCCTTGTCACTGCAAGCCCCACTCCACCATGGCAAAGCACTCCCTGCCTGTTCAGCAGCAGCAGGGGCAGTGGTGCAGAGTTGTGCCCCTTGCTGTTGCTGGCCAGACAGAGGGTGCCTCACTATGGTGGCGCAGAGCTCCCAGCAGCTGCAACAAGCTTCCCTGACCAGCTCTGCTCTGTCCTGCTGTGCCAGGTCCCACCCGCTGAGCTGTGGATGTTCCAGTGGGAAGGCATCAGGGTGGGGAGCCTGAGTCTGCAGCAGGCTGCCCGCATCCACAACCCTCCTCCAACACTCCCAATGGGCTCCACTCTGGCCGAGCTGCCCATGGGGGAAGGGGAGCCGGGCTCTGCACTCTGCTCTACCATAGCAGCTGCTGTCTCCTGTGGGTGGCAGCCAGAGTTCAGGCACTTCTGTGGAGGACAAGGGGCTGCAGACCTGGGTCCCTGGCCCCATAGCTCTGGCAGCTGGGGCCTCCTCTAGCAGTGCTGGGGAGCATAGGGGGGGTCTGTGGGTGGGGAGTGAGAGGCACTAGTAGGGCTGTGGGTGGGAAGTGAGGGGCACCAACAGGGCCAGGGTCTTTGGATGGAGAGTGAAGGGCACCAATAGGGCTGGGGGGCTGTAGTTTGGAAGTGAAGGGCCTGGACCCACATCCTGATGAGCAAAGGGGGCAGGGGGAGCTCTGCTTTTCCGTGACAAAAAATCCAAAATCAAATACCAAAACTTATAGGCACTTAGAATTTATTTTATTATAATGATTGAGGCCCTGGTAGGCTTCCAAATTGCTTTAAAATTGTAAATATATCAATAAAACATTGTGCTCATCTGATACCTATATCTATAGTGGCATTTCATTTTATTGCAGATTTTGGGGGTTTTAATCAGAGAATTTGCAATTTTTAAACACAGAAAACCAGGATCCTTGGTCATAGCCTTGCACTGAGGTGATTACTGTCAGGGTGTAGGTGCCATGGCAGAAGAATTTTTACAGAAGACAAAGACTGCCATCCTGGAAAAGATGTGATGTCACAAAAGAAAATTTTAAGTCTTATGAGGGCCCACTGGAAATTATGATCTTACCTACTGTAGCAGAAAGCCCCCTTTTCCTCTTGCCTGCAGTTGCTCTCCCCTCCTTGGATATGTTTTTCCTCTTCTACCTTTTCTTCCTTCCTCTTTCTTTCACTTTAAGATAAGGAATTGTGTTTTAAAATTTGTATGCATGCATTTTGTATCTCCCCTTGTATTTTGGTATTTTTATCTATTTTGTGCCATGGCATTACTTTTGTAGCTTATATTTTATACTCCTCACCTTTCAACTAAATGTGTTTAGTTTCAGAAGTAAGTTATACGTTGTAACAATGTTAACAAGGTCAGGAGTCAAACTACCACTTCCCTGTATCAGGCGGGCCCCTGAAAGAGTGAATGAATCAGTGATTGAATGCGTAACACAGTAGCAGGCAGCAATTAACACCTAGGAAAACCGCAGATCAACCAACAGAAGAAATCAATAGAAGACAATGTAGCAACAGGGAAATCTCTAAATGTCACTGTTTAAGGGCTAGAAGCCCTGGTCTGAGTTAATCAACGCCGGGGACCAACTTTTGGGATGAATATCTCCAGATCGACTGCTTCCAGAGCCCTATTCAGAATTCATCAACCGACTCCCAAACCTGCATGTACATGTGGACGACCCCTGGGGCTGACAGATGCCATCCAGTAGCCACCAAGGGGGAAGTCACACGAGGGTCCATGACCCCTGGATTGGGCAAACCTGAAAACTGGGGAGTCACCAAAGTCTGCCAAGGACAGATAAAAAGCAGTGAAAAATGACCCTCAGCGGCACCCTCTTGATCTCCAACTTGACCAGCACCTGACCTGTCCAGCCAGAAGGACCAGCCAGCGACCCCCTTCTGGAGGATAACACCACGCTGAAAGAAGCCTCAACAGCAGACTCCAGCACCTGTGGGATAGGTATACTTGAATTTTGTAGCTCGCTACTGTGTGTGTGTGTGTGGGGGGGGGGGGACCAGCCCCAAGGTTTATGATTTAACTTCATTACAGTGTTTCAATCCACCTAATAAACCAGAATTTTAAGGATCCCGAGTTGGACATTTGTAGCCAACACCATTATCCTGTTCAGTTCACCCAAATACCTATCCAGTAATCCTAAGTATTCTCCCTGCATCTCATTTACTCTTTTCTGTTGTCAGAGTTCTAGATCTAATTATATATTTTCTACTCCCCCAAACTGATGCATACCAACAATCAGACTAATTGCTTTGAAGTGTTTTTCCTGATTTATGTCAGAGAATGGATAGCAGGGATAGAGCTCCTGGGCTGTGAAGTTCACAGCTCTGAAGGTGGGAGGGGAAGTTGGCTTAGTGTCAGAACTGCACCCTTGGCAGTAGAGTTCAGGGGATGGAAAGTTTGTTCATGCAGAACAGGCAGGTGGAGGAGGGGAAACTGCATCCTGAGATGCTGGAGGACTGCAACATGGACAGTCCATCTGTGGGGAGTGGCCACACATTAATAGAACATAAGCTGGGTAGCACAGATCAAAGATTAAACCTGCCCTGCAGTGGCATAACTTTAAGCTGCTTAAACTGTGCTTAAAACTAGTTTCATGTACTAATGCAATCCAGGAGTTAAGATCTCTAAGGAGCCACTTAAAATGAATGTCCCTTACTCTGCTGACTGGTCACAGTTTGCATCTTAGCTAGCATGTTAAGCCTGTGAAACACAGATTTAAGATCCCCTATGGGGTCTTTAGCGTGGGTTTGTAAGAGTATTAAAGCAAAAAGGCAATTCTCTGTAGTATAATAGTCTTAGCAAGTTCAAGAAAAGTTTTGCACAAATTCCAGCGTCTATGGCTCCTCAGGGGAAGAATCTTATCACAACCCAATGAAGTCAAAGAGCACAACTTTGGAACCTCATTCTACTCCTAACAGCACCATCTAGGCTGAACCCCCGCAAGAAGTGTTATTATACATCCCATCCATTAGGGTATACTTCCCAAGGGCTGCAATCAGATGAGATGTTTTCTATTTGAAATTGGAACCTTTTGGAAATGAGACACAATACTGTGCTTTAACTTAGACAGGCAGCCCTCAATTCTTATGGCATTTCATAGTTTCATAGTTTTAGGGTCGGAAGGGACCTAATAGATCTTCTAGCCCGACCCCCCGCCAGGGCGGGAGAACAACAAAAAACCCTAAAAACAAAAACGGGACTCAAATGAGTCCAGCCAGGTAGGCATCCAGCCTCTTCTTAAAGACCCCCAGGGTAGGGGCCAGCACCACCTCCCTTGGAAGTTGGTTCCAGCACCTAGCCGCCCTAACTGTGAAGTAGTTTTTTCGGATGTCCAATCTGTACCTCCTCTCCATCAACTCGTGCCCATTACTCCTTGTTATGCCAGCGGGGGCTAGGGGAAACAGCGTCTCCCCCAAACCCTTCTGGTTCCCCCTAGTGAGTTTATAGACGGTCACCAGGTCCCCCCTCAGCCTTCTCTTGTGGAGGCTGAATAGGTTCAAGTCCCGCAGTCTCTCACTGTAGGGTCTGCCCTGTTGTCCCCGGATCATGCGGGTGGCCCTCCTCTGGACCCTCTCCATGTTGTCCACATCCCTCCTGAAATGGGGCGCACAGAACTGGACACAATACTCCAGCTGCGGCCTGACCAGCATCGCATAGAGGGGGAGGAACACCTCCCTGGCTCTACTCGAGATGCACCTGTGGATGCACGACAAGGTCCGGTTAGCCCTGCCAACCATGACCTCGCATTGTCGGCCCATGTTCATCTTGGAGTCAATAATGACACCAAGATCCCTTTCCGCCTCCGTGCTCTCAAGTAGGGAGCTCCCCATCGTATAAGTGTGCTGCTGGTTCCTACTACCCAAGTGCAGCACCCTGCACTTGTCCGTATTGAAACACATCCTGTTCCTGTTTGCCCACCCCTGTAACCTATCCAGATCCTTCTGCAATCTCTCTCTCCCTGCTAGCGTGCTCACCTCCCCCCAAATTTTGGTGTCATCAGCGAATTTAAACAGGTTGCTTTCCACCCCAACATCAAGATCGCTGATGAAGAAATTGAACAGCGCAGGCCCCAGGACCGAGCCCTGGGGGACTCCACTACCCACCTCCCCCCAAGTCGAGTATGATCCATCCACCACCACCCTCTGAGTGCGACCCTTCAGCCAATCTGCAATCCATCTGACCGTGTAGGCATCTATGCCACAGTCGCCTAGTTTATTAATTAGGATGGGGTGAGAGACGGTGTCAAAGGCCTTGCTGAAGTCCAGAAAGACTACATCCACCGCGACACCTGCATCCATGGCCTTTGTGACCTGATCATAAAAGGCAATCAGGTTGGTCTGACATGATCTCCCCCTAATAAATCCATGCTGATTGCCCCTGAGCATCATTTCTGATGCCGGCCCATCACAAATGTGCTCCTTGATGATCTTCTCAAAGAGTTTCCCCAGGATTGAGGTAAGACTGACGGGCCTATAATTGCCCGGGTCCTCCCTTTTCCCTTTTTTGAAGATGGGGACCACATTAGCTACCTTCCAATCTTCTGGCACCTGGCCCAAGCACCACGATCGCTCGTAGAGCCGTGCCAGGGGCCCTGCAATAACCCCAGCTAGCTCCCTCAGCACCCTGGGGTGGAGAGCATCCGGACCCGCTGACTTGAACGCGTCCAGCCCCTCCAGAAGCTCTCTAACCCGGTCCTCCCCAACCCGAGGTCTGAAGGCGATCCCCTCGCGTCTGGCTTCTATCACAGCAGGGAAGTCCCGGTCCCTGCACAAGAAAACGGAGGTGAAGAATTGGTTAAAGAGGTCCGCTTTATCCTCTGACGCAACCACCAGATTGCCCCGCATATCCTGCAGGGGCCCCACATTACCCGGCGCCTTCTTCATCCTCCCAATATATTTGAAAAAGGACTTTTTGTTATCCTTAATCCTGGACGCTAATCCGAGCTCTATATCCGCCTTGGCCTTCCTAACAGCCCGCCTGCAGGCCCGAGCAGAGGAGGTATACTCCTCTTTGGAGATTACACCCCCCTTCCACCGGGCGTATGCCGCCTTTTTGGCAAGCAGGCATTCCCGGACACCCTTGGTGAGCCAGGGGGGCTTCCGGACACTCCTGCCCCCTTTGCTTCTTGTCGGGATGGACACCCCTTGGGCCCCGAGTATCGTTTCCTTGAGGAACGACCACTCCTCTTGGACGCTGAGTTCCTCTGCCCTCAAGGACCCCAGTTCCTCTCCCACTAATCTCCTCATCTCACTGAAGTTTCTGAGTAAATCATTTCCTTCCTGAGTAATGATTTCCTTCCTGAGTAAATCAGTGCTACTTGGTTATGGCTTCTTTTCCTCCCTTTTACCTAACTCTGTTCCCCCAGAGAAACCAACTGCATTGCTATCTTGATGTGCAGGAGAGAAGTTTTGTTTATGGCTCTAGTAATGCCAGGACTTTGTGTTCTGGGTAGACTGGTGGGGAAATCAGTTGCACTGGTGCAAGTTACAACACTACTTTTGTATGTTATACTCAGTACGTGTGTGTGTGTGTGTGTGTGTGTGTATTTATAATATACTATACTAATATGTGTGTGTATTTATATAGTAAGTTGTGTGTGTGTATAATATACACACATACATTAGTATAGTATATGTATATAGTTGTGTGTGTATGCACACACATGCACGCACATACACACACAGTAATATACATAATATACTAGCATATATGTAAAATATTATAATTAAGCTTGCCCAAATTTACTAGGGCTTGTTCAGTAACCATCTGGTTTCCATTCTATGCTCTTAATCCTTTTTTATCTTCCACTAGCCAGAACCTTTCTTAATCAATATTATTCAGATATGCTTTGAGTCTTCACTGACTATGCCTGCCATTGCCTCTGGTTACACTGAATCTTATGCCTTTACCTCCCAATTGCCAATGTCACTAAGCACTTGACTATCACAAGACTAAGTAGTAATGTTTCCTTTATTGAGATTTGCTAAATGGCCATTATTTATCCAAAATTTGCATATTGGTCATTCAAACTTAGCCAGCGTCATTTCCTTTCTATTGGCAGGAGGCTTCTCCATATCTTAATGCCTTGAGGAAGATGGAGGA